ACCTTCACTTGGTCAACATCTCATCTTACTGATTTTCATTCATTCACTCATTCATACATTTATTCACTCATTCACTCATGGTTTGATTTGACTCAGAAATCAAACATCATGGTCCTGTTTATGCTAAGCAATTACTACCTATCATATAACATTTAGAAACACAACCCAGATTCATAAATTTACTATTTTTTCTTACTATCACCATTTTAACCCTTTTTTATTGTTTTTGTTTGTTGGTTTGGGGTTACAAGAATTAAATAAAATATAAAATCTGAAGATTTATCATTTATCTTGTTGATTTGGCATCAACATGTTTGCAATCTGTCATTCCACACAAACTGGAAATATGTGCCTTGGCTAGTGTTGTCCACACTTCTCTTTCTTCACTTGGTTACATCCTCCTCTTGCGTCACAATATCGTTTTCTCCAAAAGGCTCACCTGCCCTTTACCTTGTCTCACCTCTTCAGTGTCACCCAGAGGTATGCTGTGCCCCTGCAGCACCCCATGTACATCTATCCCCTGGTACTCACTGTATTATGTTTTCCTTGAGCCTCTTCCACTCATAAGTACCCGAGGCCAAAATAGGAGCTCTGTGTTATTCACTTTTGTATCCCTAGGGCGATACTTGGCACAGATTAAGAGATTTCTTGACGCAATAGAGATTTCTTGAACTTGACTGAAATGGACCAGATTATCTTTCTTCATATCCCTTTCAGATTTCAGTGTTACTTGATGAAGCTGTAGAAAGGCTAAATTCCCATTGTAGTAACCTCTTAGTTATAGTGCTTTGGCCTTTTGTTGTTTTGTTTTGTTTTTGTTTTTTCTGGTATTTAGCAAAGTAGGAATAATGTAGTAAATGTCATATTCCAATATTCCCCTATAGAGGGCCACATCATTATTCAGAATTTCAGCATGAGTCACCTCTTCTGTTTTCTTAAAGCACTGTTTCTATGACAATTTCCTTAACAAAAGGAGGAATTATTTTTTATTTTGGCAGAAAAAAGTGTCATAAAATCTATAAATATTGACCATATATTAATGAGGTTATGATGTCATAATCTGGTATTGGCCTTGGTGGAATACAATGTCAAGCCAGTAATTCAGGCAAATATCTACATGCAGTTCATGAAATGTAAATGCCTTCCAGCTCCGTTGTAAATAATAACCCAGTTAACCGCTGCATTTTGTGTGCAACATATGGCACTGCTGCAGGGAAGTGTTCTAAGTGATAAAAATTAAAGAAAAAAGGTCATTCACAGTAAATACTTACCATCTGTTCCCAAGCAGGGTGGCAAACAGAATCATGATGGAAATTTAGGTACTGTTCCCGCCCAGCCATAAATTGTTAAAGGGAACAGATGATATGTGATTTTACAAGTCACTTAGTAAACAGCCATTCCTGAGGCAAAGGTTTCATTTCTATTGGGAGTTCTCTGCCAAGGGCAAGAACCTGAACCATAATCCAAAGTCAAAATAGAATTATCCTTTTGCTTTTATCTTCAATGTCCGAGGCCACACTGGTTGAATCATTCCAAATGTCTTCAACTGGATTGCTCATTCCCATGAATAATATACGAGGCTACACTTCAAAGTGAAGAGTGGTCAGCCTGAAGTGCTAATGAAAAAGGAAATATTATAGTGTAGTAAGAAGAAAATAGATTGTTAGCAGTGTGTAGGGTGTGATGGTAGATAGACATAATTCTATCAATCTGTGTGTGTGTATGTGTTTGTGCATGGAGGGGGAGAAGAAGGTATAGAAGAAAGATTTAAAGATCATACACTGAAATATGGATATTTGTTCTCTGAATGGTGAAATATAGATGTTCATTCTCTGAAATGAAAACAAATGAGTTTTCATCTTGATGCTTCTCTGAATTTTGGATTTTCTGCAATGACGTGTATTTCTTACATAATCAGATAAAATTTGCTACATTTTAAGAAATCCTATCAGAAGCAAGGAACTTAAATTCTTCAAAGTATTAGGTACCAAGAACTAGAATAGGTGCTTGTGTGGGGGCTGGGGGAGTTTGACGTACTTGAGGGTGACCGAAGAGAAGAGCCAGATATAGTATATAATTAAGACAGACAGAAGAGAAAAGATTATGCCAATCATGAAACCCAGCAAATGAGAAGTAGCAAAATCAAAATAAACATGAATGTAAGGAAGATGAACTAAGACTATCAGATTCCTTTCATTAGAAACATGTTTTCTTTTAAGCTAGAGTGATGTTATTAAATTAGATTGTTAACCTTATTCAACAGCCTTGGCTCTAAATTACTGTGGGCTTCCTCTGCAACGGAACCCACTCTCCAAAATGGAAGAATTACTAATTTTAAGAATACTCTATTATGTCGCAAGGTCCTAAGGCAATTCCAAATGGAGAGCTCCCCCCAAAATTTTGAGTAACGTCAGCACACTTTGAAAGCAGTATTTCTCATTTTTATGTGTGTTAAATTATCAAGCAATTTGTTTTTACATTCATTCTGGAAACCCTGGAAACCAGTGGGAAGGCAGAAACTTGAACTGAATGACCACACTTCTCTTCTTTATCAAGCCTGCCTTGCTCTGTTCTCAGAAATGCTCTCAGACTTTAGCTTTTGTAACAGGCTCAGGTCTCTTCCTGCTCCAAACCTCTGTTGATTCATCCTATTGGCTTCCTGCTATGTGAACCATAACCAGTGCCCACCGATTGGTGGCCTTTGCTTCTCTAATGTTCTATCAATGCTGAAAATTTGAAGGGACCCTGCTGCTACACTGGACCTGAGATAATAGCCACAGGAACCAAGTCTATGACACCTCAGATTCCCCACTATGCCTTGAAAAGTATTGTGCACCTAGTAGCACCTCAGTATTGATTTTGTTTGAATGAGTAAAAACAACTTTTCATTCCCATTACACAACTGACTATTCAGTGGAATTCAGAATAAGAGTGTCCCACTTTACAACACACAATTCTAAAATAGTGGTTTTCCCCTGAGATTGTATCGCAGTCTGAAATGAGAGAATAGTATGACAGGGTTCTAGTGCAGTCACAGGAAAGAGGCATTCATTTCTCTTCACTTTTGTCCCCCATCTCCAGTTCCTGATTACTTTGAATCCTATTTGAAGGTACTAACTGCTATGTTTGCTTACTGAAAGCAGGGTCATCTCATGTATACATCTTAAAATCAGTTCATAGGTTTCCTTCAGATGCCTCTGTGTCTTAAGGAAGCAAATATGTGTAAAGTGTATGTTCCATAGCTAAATATGATTGATTGTTTTGCATCTTCAGTTTCTGTTGTATCTTAGGAAATTTGTTTCTCCATTGGTAGATTGATCAGAAAATGCTGACATAATAGAGAACCACTGTGGGAATCTGCAGATTAGATGTTGGCTTGCGAGTATCCAAAATAACTTTAGCATGGCATGGATCATGGTGTTTCAAAGGCAGCAGGGTTGGCAATCTAGTCAATCTTTCCATAGTAAAGGTGAAGAAATTGAGACCCAAAAAGTTTAAGTGACTTTTGAAGAACACTTAGTTAGTTATCAACAAAATCGGGGTTTAATCTAATCACTGCATTGTATCATTCCACACAATGAGAGGTGAGCAGTCATTTTTTTTTAAATCAGAACCATTGGGTAGATTATTTCTGAGCAAACTATCCATAGCCTTATCCAGTTTATAAGTTCCTTAAGAGTAGGAACTGTTACACATTTTTTATCTGTCACATATTAAATATATTATCTAATACTTAGTATCTCTCAACACAAGTATTTTTTGATTACTTGATTAACTGAATACAGAATTAATATATAGTTAGATAATAATTTATTGTATAATTCATAATACAATTAGACAACCAGAAACCATTTTGAGATAGGATATACTACTTAACATTTTTTAGAGAGGTAATATGAATGATTAAATGCATATATTTTAGAATTCCAGATCTGCTATTTAATAACTATGTGACCATGGGAAAAATAACTTTTAAAATATCTCTTTCATTTTATCGTGGAAATAACATCATGTGGTTGCTTTAAAGATTAAATGTGGTTGTCTGCATAAGTGCTTAAAATGCCTTCAGATGGTGAATATCCAACAAATGTTGGCTATGAGCAGCTGAAAAAATGAGCACAATAGTGCCTAAACCTTAAGGTTTTCAGAATATAAGTCAGGAAATAGACCGGATGAGAAAAATCTATCTACTGGGGGATATTTTTTTAAATCTCTCTTTTTATTTATCCTCTGAAGAAATCAGTGGGCAATGTGTCTTCATCTGCAGGCCGTCTGGTGCCATAGAAATAGTAAAATGCTACAGAAATACCGGAGTGTGAGGAAAACATCATGAGATATCCATGATTAAGTAGTTTGTTGGTGATCAATGAAGATTTGTTAATGATAATGAAGACTTATTATTTCCAAATGGAACTAGCTTGTGGGGAGAAATCTTTAAAAATTCTTTGACTGTTAAAGTGTTATGAAAATATGAAACATTCCTCTATTTGTACAAATTTGTGCTCCATGTAAAACAATGTATTTTATACATATTTGCATGACCTATCCTAGCACTGAGAATAAAAATAGGTAATACTCAAAGAAAGGTTGTCGGAGAGAAAACAGTGGCCATAATATATTTTTAAAATGCTTTCAAGTGCAATTGCAGTTTCAGAAAGGTGGAATTTGTCTAACCAGGTTGCAGATTTATCAATACATGACTCAAAAGCTTAGTACCACAATCATAATGACAGTGTCTATAAAATTATATCCTAAGTTCCAAAGCTTTCACTATTGCAAATAAGTTCAATCACATCTCAAATAGTTTCCAGTTCCATGGATATCAGAATAAAACACTTTTAGGTCCTTATCATTTATTGGGAGTCTAAATGAGGACCCATTTGCCCAAGTTTAACATAAAGACTTAATGGAAAATAAAATGCTGCTAAGCTTTCCCAAACTCAGAAACTGTATTGTTATTATTTATATCACCCCTTTATTTCTTTTTTCAATTAATGCAGATGGACCTTATGGACTTCGAGTTAACTCTGATAAAGGGCTAAAAGTAGGGGAAGTGTTTACTGTTGATATTGGAGAAGCCATCTTGTTTGATTGTTCTGCTGATTCTTATCCTCCCAACACCTACTCCTGGATCCAGAGGACTGACAATACAACATATGTCATTAAGCACGGGCCTCGCTTGGAAGTTGCATCTGAGAAAATAGCCCAGAAGACAACTGACTATGTGTGTTGTGCTTACAACAACGTAACTGGAAGGCGAGATGAAACTCATTTCACAGTCATCATCACTTCTGTAGGTAAGTGTAACATAAAAGGCAGGGATTCCAGTGAAACACAAATGCACACTAGCCTTGCTCTACCCTCTTTTATACCTATGTGGAAGAAAGTATCATTTTGGAAGTCTTCACATACTTTAAGAAACCCTATCCTGAGTTAACTAAGCCATGGTTTCTAAGAGTCAAAGATAGAAAATCCAAAGAATGATGGAGAGAGAATTCAATTGCTGTCTCTGAGGGGCTATAAAGAAAAAGGAAATTTAATATATTACTGCTAAATGTGCATTTTTGCTTTCTTGATTTTACAAACAGGAATATAAGAGAAGCAGGCTACTCATTTAAAAGGTTTATATCTAGAGTTGCATTAGGGCAGATAAATAAATATTCTTCATGAGTAACAAATCTGGTTTTCCTGTTAGCTGGCTCCCTTCTCACTGTCCATCATGGGCTCCCTTTCTTCTTTCACCATTTAAAACCTGAAATCTATGAAAGTCCTCAACAGGGGTCTCAACACCTTGGAAACTACAAAATTTTGTAAGTCTGCGAAATTTGGCATTTTCTAGAAATCATCTGATTTTCAGAAAGGTCATCATTCCACAGATGGTTAAGAATCACTGCCTAAAATATTTATGTCCACCAAATTCTTAACTTTCTGAGGCTTCTCTCTCTCTCTTCAGTATGATTTCATTGTCCTGTGTGGTTTCACTCCCTCCCATGGTTTTATGTGACACTGACACATCCCAAATCTTTATCTTTAAAGGTCTAAAGTTTGTATACCCAGTTAGCTTCTAAACGTCTCTACTCTGAAGTGCCAGATGCAGCATACAGGTCCAGTATATCAAAAGTGAGCCATCTTCTTTCCCCCTAAATTGCTATTCTTTCTGTATTCCCTGTTTAAGTGTATGGCCCTAATATCTACCAACCAGAGCCAGAAAGCAAAATGCCACCTTAGAGTCTTCTCTCTTGCTTATTACTCTGCCCAACTTCCAGTCATCAAATTTGTCTATTTTCCTTTCTTCCTATCTCTCAAGCCCATTCTCTTCTCTCCTTCTTCCTTCTTTCTTTCTTTTCTTCTTCTCTCTTTCTTCTCTCTCCCTTACTCCTCCTCTTCCTCCTTCTACTCCTCCTCTTCTTCTCCTTCCTCTCCTTCTGCTTTCTGCTCCTCTTCCACCTTTTTCTTCTTTTGCTCTGTCCTCTACATCTACTACTTCTACTGCTACTATCAAATCCTTCTTGGACTCACATTTGCATGCAGACAAAGTCAAGCCAGAAAACCTGGGGACAGATTTGGACAGGAAGTGGTGGTCAGCATGCCTATGATTGGTGGATGAACAAGTTTGCAAAAGGTACCACCCATTAATATCTTCTCTGTTGATGTCTTCTCTTTCTCTGTCTTTATATCTCTGGTGCCTAGAATAGGGCCCATTACATAGAGTCAGTGCATTGTTTATTTTTAATTAATAAAGCAAGAATATAATCCTTGTATTTCTTAGGCTAACTTTTTCAGTACTTGGCCCTTGGGCCATGTGCATCAAAATTATCTGGGGAGGTCTAATAATGTATTTTCATTAAGACACCTCAGACTTATCAAATGAGGCAACTAGAACCTGGGATCTGAATATTTAGCAAGCACAAGTGTGACACTTACTTGTTTCAGGTGTTTTTATTTTTCCTCCACAGTCTTTTGAATTTATTTAAAAACCGTTAAAGGGCCATTAAGAATTACAAGACTATCATAAATCTATAGATTGATAAAGAAATGTATGGTAGGTAGGATATTCTCCTGACTCCTTAAAATTGAGGGTAGTCATCTTTACAAAATCATGAGTATATTGAAATTTATATACTTCATGGTGGATTTTTATTTTTTATTATATGAAGAAAATACCACACTCTCTAGAAGAGTGCTATCCAGTGGAACTTTCTGCACTGAAGGAAGTGAAATGTGCTCTATCCATTATGGTAGCTACTACCCTCATTTGAATTTTGAACACTTAAAATATGGTTATTTTAACTGAGGAACTGAAGCTTTTATTTTATCTCATCTCTATTAATTTTAATTTAAATCTATATAGTCACATACGTGGCTACCATATTGGGCAATACAGCCCTAGAATTTTTACCTGAATTATGCTTCATTTGGGCAGCACATAAGAATGTATTTCCCTAATAGGTCCCAAAAGTATATGTGTGTTTACAGTTATATAAATAAAATACTCTTCATTCATTATTTAGTACCTATTATGGGCCAAATGCTGAGGTATGCATTGAGAATGCCATTTGAAAAAAATAATTCCTGTTAACAGAACACTCACAACCTAATATAAGTGGGAGGCATATATGTAAACACCAAGATGTATCCTTTGCTTTCTATTTTACTGATTTTTTAATAGGCTTAAGCAGCATTTTACCTCAGTGGCTGGCTGAAACATAATTTTGAAACACACGTAATTAAGCATATAAAATAATTTTGTGGCAATCTGGATGTCATCTTAAACTTGTTCCTCATGCTCACTGCAAGTGAAAACATGGCTATAATATGTAGATGTATAATGCAGTGAAGCCATTCCCATTACCTAAACTTCCTCTATTAATATTTAGCCAAGGTATTTTCATAATATCAGAAGCCCCCAATATTTGATTAAGATCTAATTACCAAGGTCCAAAGACAGCTACAGTCTTAATATCAAATAATTGCCTTTTGTAAAATCTGAAAAACCTGTTTGACCTGTACAAAGACCAGGCATTTGTTATTATTGTAAATAAGAAAAGCAGGTGCTTATTTTTCAGAGGGATTCAGGGTTGTCAACATTCATAACCTCTTTGTGGTTTTTAGAGCTATTTTCCAACCCCCAAATGGCCACAGAACTTTAACTCAAACAGTGGCAAATGGCAAATAAAGTGAGTAGTAATAATGTGTTATAAGTATTTTATTTTTTTAAAGTTTTCCAAATGAATGAATCTCTGCCATGCAGATTAAGAGCACACCAACCTACAGTGAAAAAAACAGACATCACTTGTAACTATCAACTGAGCATTTTCTGACCATCCATTCTGATGGTCTACCTATATTAATATCTGTGGAGAATTTGAAATAATTTAGAGGGATAAGATACCTGCCTTTGAGATATTTTCAAAACCAAAGCACATTTGGTATAACCAGAGTCTAGTTGTGAGAAATAGATTAACATCTTTGTTTTTAATGAGATAAAGAATATGGCCAACTAAAAAGTTTCAGCCATAAGATATGGGAGGCAGAGGAAAACGGAGTCAAAGATGACTCCAAGGTCACAAATATGGAAAGAAAATAACAAGGTCTGAAAGTAATCAAAAGTTTTATTAGGGACTTTCAGCTGGGGAGAGGAAGACTGGCGAATGCAACAATTAGCTCTATGTTTTCCTGCCTGTGTGGGACTGGACCAGATGGTGCCTTCCACCTCTGCAAGCTATGATTCACATCTAATTTGAGATATCAGTTATCTCTGTATCCTAGTGGAGCTATCCGAAAGAAAACAAGGCAAGTAGGCAAAGTCACATGGCTAGTAAGTGATAAAAAAAAAATCTGAATTCAAAGCCCTTTTTTAAACCACTGTACAAACTGTCTCCCTTGACGTTCTTATCTGAGACTGCCAATAAGATATGTAAAAGATACCCATGTCACTTATATACAAGATATGTAACATTTATGTACAAGATAGTGTGTATTTTCTCATCACCTTAACTAATTTTTTGCTATATATGGTTAGATACTCTGGTTTGTCTAGATATGTGCCTATATCAGTGAGAAAGTATGAAATATGTGTAACTAAAAATAATATCTAGTATATAAATTTCAAGGAAAGAATAGCAATTAAAGTAATAAATTAGCATTCATATTTTGGAATAACAATGATATTATTACCTCAATTGAAAACTTCTTTGAATGCAGGTGTCCCTACTTTAAAATGTAACTAGGCCTAAATCACTATTGTGACATGCAATATATATATAAAATGAAAATGTTTATGATCATAATTCAAATATTCACATTTAATGAAAACACTCCAATGTATAAATTATTACAATTCTCAAGGGTCACATGGCCATAGTCTGAGATTTAGCCATAATAGAAATATTTTGAATTTGTACATGATCCTAAGAAATCTATAATTCTTTAATATTTATTTCTATTACACATCTTTTCATAAAGAAGAGAAGGGGGGAAATGACCCTACTGCTAGGCAGGAAAATGAATTTTCTAATTTCTTCTGTCTACCTAGAAATTTCTCATATGAAGATCTCCAGGAGAGGTATTTCACTTTGGACCACGGGAGAAAACAACTGAGAAAAACCAGAGCTCTGATATCCAGACCCTGAAACCTTAGGTGACATTCCATGAGCATCAAGCACAGAGTAACTGTGTCTGTCAGGTGGAGCCATAGTAGAGTGTGGAAATTACACGGCCCCCAGGACAGCACTTTCATTTTCATAGGGACATGTATCAGTGGCCGTAATCAGCTAACAGACTGGATGAGAGAGATCTCAGGACTCCATTATGATCAAGAAATAGACACACTGGGAGCATATGGCTGTCCTGTTTTAGGTGCAGTCTCTCAAACAGCAGGGCTGCGATACCATGGATACCACACCTCTTGCCCATATTTGCATTTAATATGTTATTTCATTTTATTTGTTTGCCTAAGGAGGAGGCAAATAGCATTTGCACTAAGGCTTTGGTAAATGAGTTGATAATGTTTAAATAATGGGGAGAATGGCATGCTATGTGCTAAAGAGTAGAAGAGTCTCTGAGAGGAGAAAGAATGGGGCTCCTGCATGAATCCACAGCTGCGCTTGAGATCCCTCTACACTTTCTGTAGCAATAGGGTCAGGATTTCCCTGTTGTCTTATTTTCTTCTCTCTGGAAGTCCATTCCTCTAAAACACACTTGCCTGGAGCTGAGATCACAGCAACTGTGCTCCTTTATTTGACCCTGGATGTATTTGGTATTTTTTATTCTGTGAATTTCAAATTCTGGACTTGGT